CTCTTGATGTTTGTGATTGATTGCATTGCCCAAATGTTGAAATATTAATGACCTTCTTGGACTGAGGACCCAAAGAGGAAACTGAAACCAATTCTGTCATCACAATTAAAGAGTCCCCTGGCTTTAATTAGCCTGACCTGGGGTATCTCTACCCATTGCTGCAGTTAAAGAGAAAAGAGCCCATTAAAGTCCAGTCTGAGACCGATAGCTACTTAATTGAGCACCTAAAGCCTCAAGCCTTTTAAATCAAATACTGTCCTGGACAGTCCCCCTGGTTAGATAATTAGCTCTCCAGCCTCTCAGAAACCATGTGAAACAACTTTTTCAGTAAAGAATAGTTACTGTGGAAGACTTCCTTTACTGGTAAGGAGGAATAACATTTTCTTAAAAGATAAAACCTTTTTCCTGTTAATGGTATTACAGAACAAAACCATTCGTAACAGTAGGTAAGGAAAAAATAAGCTTAATTTTCCTGGTAAATAATACAAAGCAGCGGAAATGTATTCTGACTTTGCAAGTAATTCTTAGGAATTTTAGCAGAAGATTCAGCTGAAGTGACCTCCCAAAACAGAGTTGTTCTGGGAACATCCTTAGGGAAAACCTAAGATGTGCAGAAAACCTCTGGGTTAGTTTGACTCCGTTTATTAGAATTTGCAGACGTTCAAGGTGTAGGACCACTTCTAGTCAGAGAGAACTGTGTAACAGATGAATGCTTAATGAAGACAAGTAGTACAATGAGATCAGTATTCCGAAAGCTGTGTTTTCAGTTGGGTGGTGCAACTGTACGGGGGAGTTGCGAGAGACCACTCGCCAGGTTCAGCTTTCTGAACGGACTAGTAACGTTGTCTGCTCATCTTTGCCTTTCTTCCTCCCCCCTACCTGGCGATGCTCTTGTCGCCAGCCCTACCTGAGATTTTTGGGTCTTTGCTGTAGAATGCAGCAGTGCCTTGCTGGCTCCTCTTTGCCGTGCTTCCCGTGCACCTTTTCTACATGCCAGCTTCATTACTAGTAACAATGGAGGAAGAAAAATGCGTATTGTAAAGCTTTGGAAGTAACCCCAATACATCACGTAACTACTGGGAGCTGGTCCTGGTTTAGAAGATGCCCTAATAATGGACCCTGAGTTTCCAGACAGTTTAGTCCCTTTGGCTGGAGGTCCCGACGATGTATTAGTTCGGCTTTCCCTTTGTAACCACTGTGATTCTGCAAGAACATGTCAATGTGTCGTGGATCTCCGACTAATTAGTTTTGAAATGGAGTTTTGATTGAACTCTTCAAATCGATGCTGCTGCAAAATTTGTTTCTCAGCTTCCTATTAAAAGCCATCTTAAGGGGCAGTTTTACTACTCTCTCTGTCGTTCAGTCGATACATTTAATAACAACTTACAGGCTATTTTCAATAAAGTGGCGACAGCAAATTAGTAGTTTGAACATGACAAGCCTCCTCTGCAAGCTCAGATTCTGAAAATTCAAAGCAATTATTTTTATACGGAGGCACACTGCAATCATTCAGATTACGGGTATTCTGTTGTAATGCGTCGCCTCGGTTGACACAAACAGAATTTTATGACTTTATTTGGACAGGAAGGAGATGCAAATATTAATATTTATTATGACACCAATACGCTAATTTGTAAATCCTATTACTATGTTTTACATCGTGCAGAAAAGTGGGTCTGTGACCCTGCCAGCTAGTTCAGTTTCCTTTTTTACTGCGAAATGATTGTGGTAGTCTTTATAAATATTTGTGTGTATTAGAGAGGCACGCAAAAGCAAATAAAGGTTTTCTAATTCTAGCTAACGCAGGCTGGAAAAGTAGAACTTGATAATCATTACTGTATATATTTTGAGCCAATGCGTTGTGCCTTTAAATGGATTTGAAGAATTATGTATATATTTTTCTTCGCCACTCTTCTGCCTGTTTCCCCCCTCCCCCCACTGTGTGTGCCCCCCCCCAATGGCAGATGTTGTGGTCTCATTTGATTGCATAGGAAAACTGCAGTGATACAGCAAACACCCAGAGAGATATGATGACAAATGGGTCCAGATCCCGGTAAATTACTTTCTGCTCAAATCGAAATTTCATTCAGTTTGTTGCTAGCAGAGATGAAGTAATCTAAATTGTGGACTCAGGAGCAGATAGAGGGAAGTTGGAGCAAGCATTTCATTATCAAGAGAGAGAGAAGGTTAGGATGAAAGAGATGAGCAGAGGCAAATCTAAAGTGTTGACACCATGATTGAAAAGGTTAACCCATACACATTATATATCAACCTGGATAGCAGAGAGTTTCTAATGGAAACTCTGCACTGATGGAGGTTTACTGGAGTTTCAATACACTGAGCATGATGTCTTCTTAGATATACAATCAAATCCTCTTAACCCTTTTGATGACTCATATCTCAAGATATGATTAAAGTACAAAAGAGTTCTTCATATAATTTCAAGGACACAATGCATTTAAACTCCAGTCATGAATTGTATCTTTTTTTTTTTATGATGAACCCAGTAATCTGATAAAATGCATGTAGTACAGAATTGTTTGTGTTTCTAGAGGTGTAAGTCAATATTTCTGATTAAATCCTGTGTAACCACATCCAAGGTAGGGTGAAGCTACCAGTTGTTACACAAAAATACAGTTTTTCGTATTATGACGCGTAAACAAGGTGGAAGACGGGGGTCAGAAGTCTAAAACAGTTGTGTAATAAACCATTGCGGTGATGCGCAAAATGCTTAGAGCCTCCTGTGTATTAAATTATTCATGATCATCACCTCTGTTTCAGGTTATTTGGAAATAGTGGTGCTTGCAGTGCCTGTGGACAGTCCATTCCTGCCAGTGAGCTGGTCATGAGGGCACAGGGCAACGTCTATCATCTTAAGGTGAGGGCTTTTTTCTCCGAATTCTTTTTTAGTAGCTGATTAGTACTGCCATGCTGCTTTAGTATAAAATCTGCATCTGCTTATGAACCAAATGCAAAGCAGTAACTAGAAATACGAGTATATATTATAAAGCTTCCCTGAGCGAGTCGCTTTGTTCCCTTGTAATCGGTAAAACTATACTTGAGTTATGTACTGCGTGGTCCCAACAGGTAAGACTAATGCCATATTTGGAGATACTAGGAACCGAGCAGCTCCATATCTCAACTGTACTTGCAGTCTCTGAAGTGTAATTTTCAAACCTGCAGCATACTTAATTTGTGCTGTAGTTTCACTTGCTGTCTCTTTCCTTTTTCAGTGTTTTACATGCTCTACCTGCCGGAATCGCCTGGTCCCCGGAGATCGGTTTCACTACATCAATGGCAGTTTATTTTGTGAACATGATAGACCTACAGCTCTCATCAATGGCCATTTGAATTCACTTCAGAGTAATCCACTACTGCCAGACCAGAAGGTGAATACTCAACAATTACTAATAAGCTTTATTAGAGCTAAATGAAGATCAATTGCTTTTCATTCTAATAGCGGACATTCCCCACCCCTGCAAGGAGACCTTTAAGTAACTGAACTTACCTTAAATAATGTAGGCATGGGGTATGGGGAGAAAATGCTAACCTTTTAAATGACACATAGGATGAGTCAGTTTGTTTTGGTTTGGGCCTGTGCATCTGTACAGCTGTTGAACTCCTTATGTACAAAGCAAAATGGAGAGCATATGTTAATATGAACCCTTAACGAAGAGAAGTATTTTATTTTATAGTCTTGAAATTAAGGGCTACAAGAGAGCAGGTTTCCGTGGGAGGAAAATTAGATCCTTTAATATGGAAATAAATGTCTTACGAAGAGAAGGTTCCTGAACTAAAGCAATGTATTTCACTTTAATATATAGGTTTTAGTTGAGGAAGCATGCTGGGGTACTCTTTCAGAAGTATTTTCTTGTCTGTTTTGTATGTCATAACTCAGATTTAAAAACCAAAGTGCTATTTTCTTATCGCTCCATAACACTAATAGCTCAAGTAGAGATTGTATATCTCTGTGGTTGATAGCTCTTGGTTTCTAGCTAAATGAGTAAATAATGACTGTACAAATCACATAGAGAAGAAGAAGGAAAAAAAAAAAGTCTCTGATCAACAGTTGTCCTGTAACTCTGAAACTAGATAGTTTTAGATCTATTTTAATCTCCTTAATAAGTCCTAAAGCTATGCAAGTGAGTGCATTTTGATAACTGCTGTGCCTAATTTGTAACAATTACTGTCAACCTTGAGTTAAGAGACTGTTCATTCCACCCTGGTCCAGAAAAGAGTGAATGTATGACTCTTGCACATAATTTTATTCACATCATATTTCATACTGATTATGTATTGATGACATTGATTCATTTACTCTTTACAGCGCCACTTGCATGGATATTAAATCTTATTGACCACAGATGAATTTTAATTTCAGATTGGTGATAGATTTTTCCATCAGCTCTGATAGTATATTTGACTTTTTCATCATTAACCCAGGCAATCACACAGCACTGAGTTATTGCAATGAAACAAAAAGTGCACACTTCAGTTGGTAATTCTTTATAGATTTACAATAGGAACTTCATTAATGTCTGTAAGGATCACAAAAAATAACATTTATCTGCAAATAGGAATTTGGAAGATTAAAAAAATCTGGGACAAATGTTAGGCTGATCTATTCTGTAATGTACAGAATATTTTTTAGTGCTTCTAGTTAGTGGAGAAATATGTCCAAGAAAACACAAACTGGTTTTTAATTTCCATGATTTTTTTGTTGTTGTGTTGCTGCATTTCAATATCTCTGTTTGCTTTTTTTCTGTGCATAAATTTACTGATTAATTTTAAGTATTCTCTCAAGTCTTATGCAGTGAATGTAATTACAGCAAAATAAAACATGGGCCTTTTTATTTACTTAATTTGTCAATCGAGGTGATGAGAGAGTTGAGTACAAAAGTCCTATATAGTTAGGCAGAACAAAGATAATTACGATTGGAGCAGAATGTGCAGCCTCTTCTGAAGGAAGTACAAATACAGTTAAAGATTCATAGATTTATACTGTTGTGAATTTTAATGAAACAAATCTGTAATATAGACTAGCGAGCAGTGAATCTGTTAAATGAGTATTTGTAGGTATCCCATTTCAAAATATAGGTAAAACCATTCATCTTTATACACTGCAGTAAAAGGTTTACCATTCTGAGAGAGTGGTTTATCCACTTGTCTTCTACGAAAGTAAAGTTTAATGTAACTTCAAATAGGTGTCTAAATTGTCATTTAGTTTTATCAGTTTCTTACTATGCCTTAGCAAAACGTAAAAATGATTTAGTTGCAATAAAAGCAGTAGACATGATGAGGAACATAGAACATGGGAAAGAGAAGTGAAATTGGACTGGGCTTGCAGAGCTCACAACTGTAGACACCTGGTAGAAGCTAAACGGGGAGAAAATAGTGTGAACAGATTTTTATTAGTTCCTGTCACTGCCTATTAACTGCATTGCTAGTCTGTGATGAGGCAGATGAAGAGGTATTCGGGAGAAGGTTGGGGGGAGAGATTATAGTTTGGGATTTAAAAATTTGTTTTAAATAATATAATCTCACAAGAATATGGTGTAAGTTCTCCTACCAGTTTTCAAAGGGGAATTGTGGAGCCCCTGAACCCCAGGAAACTGAAGTATGGTTGAGGAGACAAGTTGATAACTCATAGATTTGTCAGGTTGCTGGAGTTTTGGAAGCTGCAGTGCCAAAAGACTTGTGTTTTTTATGTTGGCTGTTGAACAGTCTAAAGATGTTTACATCAGAGATGTTTTCCAGAAGGCTGTGTGTTTTAGGGCTACTAATTAAAAATGTTCTTCCACTATGACACTGTTGGCTGTAACAGATAGTTTTTATTAAATATTAAAGATCAATAGGTCACCAGGTTATTCTACCACTAGATATTACAGACACAGCAGAATATTCAGTTTTTTTCATTAAACTGAAGAGATTGAGACATACTCCCAGCATTAAAACACATTATTGTTGCATGTGTGAAGGTGACAGTTAGGAACTCACTGTTGTCTTAATATAGTTTACAGGATAATACCTGTTGGTGATTGGTGCAGGCAGAAAGGGTTGCATGATCTAACTTGGTTTAAAAACTTGCTTTTCTTTTTAAGGAGGCAAAAGCAGTGATGGTGGCTGTTCCTGCCTTTTGCCTCCCCAAGGCAATTCACACATGTAAATTATAACTTCTCATCACTTGCTGTGTAGTTTGGGAAAAAAAAAAACAAAAAACAAACCCCCCCCCCCCCCCCCCCCCAAAAAAAAAAAACAACCCTGTTTTCTCTAAACCTTGGTAGTGCTTGCCTGCAGAATGCAAATTCCTGGCTTGTGATGTACTGTGTACCGTTTCATTTGAAAGGGCTGTATTGTCAAGAATTCTCTATGCTTTTCTGGTAGTGGTAGTATTCCTGTATTATTTCTTGTTGGCAACAGTATTACCACCTACTCAAAGTGTAAATTTTCCACCGGTTGGCAATGTTTGTAGTAAACGCTTGTCTTCAGCTTCTATACTTTTAAATAAAGTATGAGTTAGATTACGTCTCTCGGAGAAGATCTTAAAAAACTTCTAGTTTACATATTGCTCAGCAGTTCCCTTGTAGTTACATAATTGGTGTTGTCTGTGTCCATAGTAGAAGATATTTGATGCTCATTTATTAAATATGCTTGCTGGCTGCTCCCTAATCTTTGTTCTGGACAGACAAATTACCTTTCTCACACTGAGCTTCAGCTCTGGGGAATTAAACCTCCAAGCCTCTACTACTTTAATTAGCTTGAAAGTGGGGGGTTGCAGTTACTAATAGACCTCAGGCTTTTAGTAACTTAGAGAAAGGGTGAAAAAAGAACTTCCTGGGAAGCGCAAAATGTCATTTAAAAACCATAAAAATCTAATATATATTATTTCATTTTGGTAATTGCAAACAGATTGTATTTGAAGACTATGGATGATCATTTCTATTTGATCCATGAAAGTTTAGATTTTCATTGAGTTAGACACTTTTAATTATCACAATTCATTAACACCAGTGTGAAAGCACATGTTTGACTTCATATATTAAAATGTTTATGTAACATTAACTAACACACCAGATGAGGAATTTTAAAGGGGGGGGGGGAATCCTGAAATATCTATATTTAGCTCTTGTGCAATGCAGCATATTAACCAAAGTTGCCTTGGGAGGATATTGCTTCTCATTTGCTTTACACACTATTTCTTCCAATTATAAGGTCATATTACCGGCTTCTTCAAAGGCATGGCATAACGTTTCTTCCCTTTTAAAAGGGGCCCAGAAAAACCACCTTGTTCACTGTACGATTTGCTACCAGAAAGTATGCTTATTTATTGTTGTCGTCTCTTTCCCCCCCCCCCCCTCCCCTG